CTAGATCCCAGATATAGAACCTATTTTAAGCAAACATTTCTCAGCTTACAGAAAACAAAGGATGACTCCAAAAGACCCCACCTTCCATCTATAAAGGGAAAAAAAGTAACCTGAAACCAGATCAGAGAGCTCCAAGCTTCAAGGAAACACGCTAACTTTCCCTGAAGGCAAATGTCAATACCGCTAGCTCTGCAACCCAGAGATGAAGGCAACTCTTAGCAAGTCTTAAGTTTGGGCAGCTCAACCAGACACTCTTGCCTTCAGACTCGGTCTCAGGCTAGCAGCGCCCCCTGGCCACAGGACAAGGCAATCACAAATACTCTACAGAAGAAAACATGCCCGATTTCAATCTCCAGATCTGAAGTCAAAAACGTTATGAGCTCAAAACCTACACTCAAATGCTTAGAGCAGCTTTACTCATAATGGCACAAAATTGGCAACAACCAAGATATCCTTTAATAAGTGAATGGACAAACAAACTATAGTACAACCAGACAGTAGAGTATTTTCAGTGATTAAAAAAAAAAATGAGCTAAGGAGTTACTAAAGGACATGGAAGAACCTCAAATGCTAAATGAGAGAAGCCAGACTGAGAAAACTATCTACGTATGATTCCAATTATATGACTTTCTGAAGAAGGAAAAACTATAGAAAGAGTAAAAAGATCAGTGGTTGCCAAGGGCTGAGGGGTTCATGAGGAAGGGACAAGGAGGTCCAAAAGAGAGGACTTGCAGGGCAGTGAAACCAGTCTGTGTGACACTGTAATGGTGGATATATGACATGTATTGGTCACAACCCATAGAATTTTACAACACTAAGAGTGAAATCTAAAATAAACTGTGTACTTTACTTAATAATATTGTATCAGTATTGGCTCATCAATTGCAACAAATGTACCACACTAATGCAAGATGCTAATAATGGAGAAATGGAGAGATGGATTAATTTATGAGAAAGCTCTGTACTTTCTGTACAACTTTTTCTAAGTCTAAAAGTGCTCTAAAAATAAAGTCTATTTTAAAAAAGATATGCGTTCATAATCAAAGATGACCAAACAAATAACAAAAAAAACAACATGAGTAAGAATCATAAGACACTCCAAAGTGCTTCGGCTCCTGGAATTCCTTACAGGCTATAAAATAGTCATAGGGGATGACAAAAATGGTAAGCAATGAAAGATGATCAAAAGTGACCAAATAGGCTTGAAAAAAACCTAATTTCAGGAATGAAAAATGGCTGAAATTAAAATGTCATGAGGTGGAGTAAACTGCCAATAAGACATGCCTGAAAAGACTCAGGTGCATCTAAAGAAATTATTCAAATTCAGCAAAAAGTCTCAGGTATGGATAATATAAAGAGGAAACTAACAGGTCTGGAGGTAATAATAAGGTTTAACACAGATTTAGAGTTTAAAGCAAGACACTATTCAACAGACAGCAAACTTTTCAACACAGCAACAGAAGCCAGAAGGCATGGAATTATGTAATTAGAAGTGAGAAAAAATAACTCTCAACTGATAAAAGTATTTTGTTCCCGGTAAAAAAATAATGTTAAATATACAGGCACCTAATAAAATAGTTTTAAACGTATAAAAGTTAATAGAACCACAGGGGAAAATTGATAAACCTACCATGGTAACGGGAAGTATCAGTAAATCTTTCGATAATTTATATATCAAGAAAACAACTATTAGTAAATAGATAGATGATTTAAAAACAATTAATAAGCTTGATTTGCTACCCATATATAAGGGAACCTGCACTCATTCACATTCTTCTCAAGTCCTCATGAAACATTTATAAAACCTGGTGGTATAATAGGTCAAAAAGCAAGTCTCAAAAAATTTTGGAGGACTGTATCATCATAATCACATTCTCTTTCACAAGTTAATTAATTAAGAATTCAATAACCAAAATAAAGGAAAATTCTACCTATACATTTGGAAATTTTAAAACTCACTTCCAAGTAATTCTGGGCCAAAGAAGAAATGATGGAAATGTTTAAATATCTAATACAGAACAATAATAAAAATATTATTTGTCAAAAATTGTGGAGTGCAGCTCCTTACAAAAAAACTTATACCATTAAAATAGTTTCAAGTCTGTAAAGTATATCAGCATAAAAGGTTAGAGAATAGTACAGTAAATATAATAAAATAGCAAGTAAATCTAGAAGTCAACAAAGTCAAAAGTTCTTTAAAAAGGATGAAGAAAATATGTACAACTCTGATAAGACTGAGCTATAGAAAAGAAAGGAGACATAAGTAAGCAATATCAAGAGTAAAAAAGGGGTATGATGCTACAGATAAGAGAAGTTTTAAAAGATAATGAAAGAATATGAACGAATTTATAACAATAAGTTTGAAAACTTAAGTATGTGATGAGAAAAAATATACAACTAGCCCAAAAAAAGAAAATTTGAATAAATTTATACCATTATAAAATTTGAATGAATTTATACCATTATAAAAAAATAAATCAATAATTAAAATCTTCCCACAAACTAAATACAAGGCCCAGGCATATTTACAGACAAGTATTACCAAACATTCACAGAAGAGATAATTCCAATCTTACACAAAGAAAGGAGAATATTCTGCAACTCATTTTATTATGGGATAAGTCTAACCTTGATACACACACCTGAGAGGAACAGTATAAGAAAGAAAAAATACAGATGACTCTTACTGACAACATAGATGTAAAATCCTAAACAAAGTACTAATTAATAAACTGGATCCAGCAATGTAAAAAATATCACCAACATATAAGGACTCCAGAATTCAACATTACTATGGTAGAAGCTCTATTTATAATTCATGTTATTAAAATTAGCAGATTAAATAACAATCTCGATAGACAGTGCATAAACTGCATTTAATTTAAGTCAATACCATTCATGGTAATAAATAAATAAACTAGCAAACTAGGAATAGATGGGAATATCCTCAATTGATAAAAAGTATCTACCAAAAAAATGTACAAAACGTAATGTTCAACAGTGAAATATTTACATCATGCCCTTTAAAATCAGAACCAAGACAAAGATGCCCATTCTCACCACTTCTAATCAACACTGTGCTGAGAAACCTTACCAATGCAATAAAGAAAACAAGAAATAACAGATGAAAAGATTGTGTTCAAGTTTGAACTTTTAGCATCACCAGGATTTGAAGTCAAAAATATTTTTAACCTTAGAAGTAGGTAAACATGAAATGGTAGGGTCTAGCTACCCGCCAATAAAGAATTTAGCTTAATCTAAACTGGAAGAAGTAAAATGGCCAATAAACATATGAAAGCATGCTCAGCTCATAAGTAATCAAGCAAAATAAAAAATCACAACAAAGATAATATGTTAAACATACCCAATTATCAAAAAATGGGAAAATGATAAAACCAACAGTCATGAAGATGAGGCGCTATGGAAACTCTCATATACTGCTGTCACTTGCTCTTTGGAAAAAAACTGGCATTATTTGGTTAAAGGTGAACATTCCAAATATTTTATATCTAAATATATATCCTGAAGAGTCTCTTAAACATGTGCATCTTTAAACCTAAAACTTTTTGTAGTAGCAATGCTTTTAGTAGCAAATATTCTTTAAAACACTAAAAACTGTAAAGAACCAAATGTCCATCAAAAGTTACCTGGATAAAGTGCACATAACAGTAATAATATACAATATATTAAAGAAAATGAATGAGTTGCAGCTATACATCAACAAGGATGACAAATTGGTAGTTACAAAATAGTCATGGGAATGTGAAATACAGTATGGAAAATACAGTCAATAATATTATAAAAACTATTAATGTGTATAGTGTCAGATGGGTACTGGGTTTGTCAGGGGGGTTACTTCATAAATTATATATATATGCTTTATCACTATACTCTACATATGAAACTAATATAAAACAATATTAAATGTGAACCATAATTTAAAAAATATATAGTCATGGGATGTAAAGTACAGCATAGGAAATATAGTCAATGGTATTGTAATAGCTATGTACGGTGTCAGATAGGTAGCAAACTTGCGGGAGTTATCACTTTGTGAGCTGTATAAATATCTAATCATTATGTTGTTTTGTACACCTGAAACTAATAATAATAAAAAAATCAAGGATGGAGGATGAAAAACATACCCAAAACAGACTAAATGAAATATTTTTCATATATCTCATATGTTTTGGAAATGCAGAAACATATGTTAAAATCATTAAGAAAAGCACGGAAATTATTAACATAAATAAATGATAGTGGTTTCCTCTGGGATATAGGGAGGGGCCACAGAGACTTCTAACTGATAATATTTTATTTCTTAAGCTATAACCTATTTTCATTAGAATGTGCTACCTCAAGAGGTACTGAATTTCCCATCACAGAAGTGTGTTTTAAGAAATACCTCACTTCGGGCAGGCTGAGTGGCGCGTTGGTTGGGAGCTGGCTTGGGATGCCAGCTCTGAGCATCAGGGCCCCGGTTCGGATCCCATATGAGGGCCAGTGACACTGCATCCTCTACAGCTAAGATGCTGAACAACAGCTCGACCTGGAGCTGGGCTGCCATGAGTCGCCGGCAACTGCATAGGCTGCAGGCCCTGCTGCAGTGGGTTGCCATGGGCTACCGTGTGTGGCCAGCAGCCAGTGTGAGCTGCCAAGAGCCACCATGAGCGACAGTCCAGAGGCCGGCGACCAATCTGCCTCACCCGGGGAAGAGCACAATGATCACAATAACAACATGGGCCAGTGAAGCGACGTCCTCCATAACTAGACTGAAGAATAAAAGGACAGCAACGTGTCTGTTCCCCTTCCCTGATTCCCCAGCACTATTCCCCTCCCCCAACTCCACAATAAAATCTTAAAAAAAAAAAACAAAAAAACCTCACTTCAATGAGCTATTTAGAGAGAAAACAAAAATCACAAAGGCATTGGACTTAATACCCTACAAATACCGTGTGTGTGTGTGTGTGTGTGTGTGTGTGTGTGTGTGTGTGTGTGTGTGTGTGTTTCAAAAAACGATAATGTTTTATTGCTCCCAGCAGGAGAGGCCTGCATGGGGTGGTGGGCGTGCCAGCTCAGGGGTGGCCTGGAGGCCAGCTCCCAGGGCTCCTCAGATTAACTTCCGGGAATGGGTAAAGGACTCATGGCAAGCTTCTGCCAAGCCGCCGATGAGATTAAGGAATTCTGGGAAATCTAGCTGCCCATCACTGTTGAGGTCCAGTTTCTTCATCATGCGGTCAAGGACGCTGGGGTCCTTCTGACTCTTTATGAAGGCAGCCAGTTCTGTATTCATGAAGCTTAGGAACTCAGTCTTGGAGAGGCTGCAGTGGTTCCCGTCCTTCCCAGCATACTTCTGGAAAACTGCAATCAGGGACTCGATGCAACGCTCGGTTTCTGTAGGGCTGGACACTTTTGCCATGTCGGAGCGGAGAGAGGTGCAGAGGGTGGGAGCGGGGAGCGGCGCAGCGAGCTCTGGGCTCTACAAATACCTTTTAACTCTCAGATTTCATAACTCCATATCTACCATGAACAGCACAATACGTTGCACATAAAAACCAATAATAATTATAACAAGTGTTCATTGACTGCTGACTTTGGCAGGCACTGTTGGCTGCTAACCAACATCCTTTTTTTGTTTCTTCCTTGCTAGCAGATTCCAATTTTGTTCTGCCATCTATCCTTTCCCCCCATGCAACACAAGGGAAAGGTATCCTAGCTTGAGGGGCATTTTTATTTAGTCTAAACTAATCTTACAGTCCATTGGTTTAGAGGTAAACATGTGGCCCTGCTTTGGCCAAGGAGTCAAGAGGTAGAATCTACTGAGGGATGCTTGGAAACGGTTTTCTTGCTCCTAAGCAGAACCCAGAAAGGCATAAATATTCTTTCTTGGTGGTGGTGTGCAGAAGTATATGCCTAGGATGTTGTTTCCGTGATGCATCCGTGAGAAAGACCAGCCTCAGAATTAAGTCTATTGGTCCATGATAACTGCATTGAGACAATAAATTAATTAAAGCTGGAGCTTTACTTCTTGACTTGTTGGTAAATAATAGGTCATCTTATTGTTTCTATTTTCCCACTGAAGTCATATTAAGTGACACACGCCATGTGCACAGTTTGCTCATTAGGCCCTCACAGCAATCCTATGGGCTAAGTATCATTATGATATCCATTGAATAGATGATAAAAATAGAATTTAGAGATCACTTCCTGCTTGAAGTACCTAAAATTATTACCATTTCATGAACTAATAAATCCTGAATTAAACAAATAGAATACAGCTTCATTGACTTATATTCATCTGAAGTCCCTAGAAAAATAATTTTATAACCCACATGTAATACAGTTTTATCTTTAAGATATCCTCAATCAGATGACTTACTCATTTTATCACATCAACACAAACTGTTTATTAAACTGCTCAGATGATGCCATGGATATATGCTACGATAAAGGTTCTTTCTCTACTTTCTCTCAGTGATTCGGAACTCAATCTGTAGGCTAGTGACTAAGATCCTTCATAGAGCATCTCATCTACAAACATAGGTGACTTTTTTTTGCAAACTTTTACAAAGAGCATAATGCATTTTCCTATGCTTTAGAGCTATTCTCTAGTTAAAAAAAAAGGAATAATGTTCTGAAAGGGGAAGCAACATTATATTTATTCTCTAGAATATGCATAAAATAATGTACTTGAAAAGGAAGAGGTATTCTAACCTTGTGAAAGCATAATATATCTCTTAATATCTATAATATTATATCATAAAGTACAATCTTACATTATAGAGCCTTGAACTAATCGTCAAAAAGACTTGAATTAAAATCTCAGTTGAGGGCCGGCCGAGTGGCGCGATGGTTAAGAACTGGCTTGGGACGCCAGAGGGCCCCAGTTCGGATCCCACATATGAGGGCCAGTGACACTGCCCTCCACAGCTAAGATGCTGAACAACAGCTCAACCTGGGGCTGAGATGCCGTGAGTCGCCGGCGACAGCGTGGGCTGCAGCCCCTGCTGCAGTGGGTTTCCATGGGCTACCGTGTGTAGCCAGCAGCCAGCGTGAGCAGCCAGCAGCTGCAGTGAGCGGCCGTCCAGAAGCTGACTACTGATGTGCCTCGCCTGGGAAGAGCGCAATGATGGTGCCAACTTCGGCCAGTGAAGCAACATCTTCCACAACTAGACTGAAGAACAAAATGACAGCAACTTGTCTGTTCCCCTTCCCCCAATTCCCCAGCACTGTTCCCATCCCCCCAATTCCCCAATAAAAATCTTAAAAAAAAAAAATCTCAGTTGAGTCACATAGAGCTGCTTGACAATGAGAAAATCCTTGTGTTCTCTGAGTGTCAGTTGATTCTTCCTTAGAAATGTGATCTCTATAACTATCTCCAAAATTTGCTGTGATACTTAAGAGGCGATACCATGTATAAAAATGTCTGCTATAAGACTTAGTATACAGGAAGTACTAAATAAATGTTAAATTTTCTCTTATTTTCTTAAATATGCTATGAAAGCACTCCATTTCAACAACAAAATGCTAGTCATAAGACCAATTCCTATGGAGCAAAAATTCTACATTCTACTAACTTGCATTATGGAACCACAGAAAAAGTTCCTAAAAGGTTAAGTCAAAAATGTTGTGCAGGTGAGTGGTAACTGGTCCTGAGACAAGTAGGAAGTAGTAACCCACCAGTTCAACTTCCCTTTGAAACTTTTCAGCATTTTGATGACTCTGTCACACAGTCAGTCATCACCCTTCACTACAACATATTTTGGTTTATTTCAACAAACAGAAAAGTGGAGTTAGGTAAACCCTTTTAAATAGTTTAAATTCCTACAGATTAAAAAAACAACTAAATAAAACACTAGACAGGCATTTAAGGAACCTAACATACTATCAGTTATGACACTGGCACTAGTCTGCTTATCTAAGTATTATCATTAAAATAGTGCTTTCAAAAAATTTAATGGTTATTTGGTTCTTAATGGAATGTGAAAACAGCAACTGGTTAACCCACTGAAAACGAAAACTAAAACAGAAGAAGACTTATGATCAGCATCTTACTACTCTTTAGTTCAAACACAGATTTTTGGTATTTTCATGGTGTCAGTAAAGCATACTGCCCTTCCATTTAGATAGTTTTACATGGAGTATAAGGATATGTAATAATAGAAGGAATTATTTATAGATTTCAATAAACAGCTACAGTAAATTATGACAAAAAAAATTCACCTCTTTCTACAGGTCTAGATTTAGGATCCATTCCTTGCTCTCCATCTCACTCCCTCATATTGCCCTGATTCCTGGATTATAGGATTTGGTGGAAAAGAGAAGGAGTGAAAAAGCAGGCAGATGAGGTAAGCAGCGGTAGCAATTGACAAGAATTTGCCTAAATACAGGTTTATGGAGTTAACTGACTTGGCAAATAAAAATGTTATGCTCTGTTACTCAGAACAAAATTTTTCTTTATAAACAATTTTGACCATACGGCATATGATTTAAAAAGATATTGCCTGAAATATTTCAAAATAGATACTAAAAACGAACCTCAAGTGGTTCTTCACCACCTTTTACTTGATTTTCACCCATTTCTTCATTCTCATAGCTGCTGCTCTTCTCAACCCATAACTCGGATTTCTCTACAGTTAGTCGAAGCTGGTCGAGATCTGCCTTTATTTGCTTGTAGTTGTCTACATCTTGATTGGACACCAGCAATTGCACCTGGAAGCAGAAGAATTTCAACCCTTACTTTATTTACAGGATGTTCTCTATTCCTATTTCATTTATGTCTAAAACGCCAAGTCTTTTACCATATTTGTCTGTCAGTTGACGTTTAATATTTCTAGAGTATTTATGGATATTTTAGATATATATTGACCATGAAAACTTACCTGGAGGTATCTGTGAACTGTACCCAATACATTCACATGTATTCATACAAAGAATTATATATATAAAAAGAGTGAGCCCTAGCAGAGCTTTTCAAAGTGCGAGTTATTCAAAATAAAAAAATACCCTAACTCTAATTTCACTGCTAAAGTTAATTTTTCTGAGACTCTGTTTTAAAAGAGGTAGAAGCATAAAAATAAGTGGAAGAAAATATTGATACAGTCTAAACCTCATGATATTGACTTTTATCATAATGTATATGTATTATAGAACATATAAATATATGCATAATTATGTCTATATAATTACTCTTTTAGTTCATATTTTAACATCTTCTTGTAAAACTTCCTAATGAAGATCAATGCTCTATTAAATAAAACAAATATTAATGAAACACATGTAAGCACTTTGGTATTATTCACAAATAGCCTCAAAATTGATGTCAGTCAATCACAAACATTTATTTAACTACTGCTGAAATACCCACATTTACAAGTAAATTTGAGGTAAAAAATAACGGCACTGGCAACAAAATTCTTAACACAGTGTTATCCCCCAGGGCCTTCCTAAATCTTAGTGCCTGTCATTTACATTAAAGGTATAAACTGAAAATCACTGTGGGGAACTAGCTCTTTCTAAAGTAGATCATGTCTTGGCTTATGACAAGGCCAAATCTATCTTTAAAAATAGAAAGGATCCCCAGGAAAAGCTGCACAGTCTCATTAACTCTGCAACCATGAAGTCAGGTTGGACGTTATGAACAATATTTTAGGAGCTTCTGCTATGGAACCATGGAGGGAGCTCCATCTTACCTGTTTAAATGCCTGTAAAACTTCCGCTCTCTGGCTGAAGTGCTTGAACAGAAGCTGCAGGGCTCCTGACAGCAAAGGAGGGTAGTCGTGCATGATCAGATGAATGAGGACCCGTAAAAATGTCCTGCCTCCTTCATCATCAAGTTGTACTGGATTTTTTTCTTTTCTATAAAACCAAAAATAATTCTAAAACAACTTACAGTTACATAAAATCTACTCGTAATTAGTTAAAATTGCATATACGCTCTCAAAGTTATAACAATTTCCCCCAAAATTGGAAAGTAAAAAAGAAGACATTTTTACTCTTCTTTTTTTTTTTTCCTCCTGTAACTGATGAAGAAACAAAGCACCAAAAAACACAAAAAAGCTGTGTTTGCCCATGAGAGCAGGAGGGATCAACCACCCTGGACAGAGGAGGCGCCCAGGATGGGGGACTTGCAAGTGCTTGCTCTGGGAACATACCAGGCAAACTGGGATGAGCTGGTCACCTAGGCACAGAAAATAGATAGGGATCTGAATCAATCCAAAAGTGTTTATTGAGAAGACATACAAGGCTGGATGTGCACCAAGGACTGATTTTCCTTAGAGCCATAGAGACCTCTCCAGGACAGGAGGTGAGAGGCTGGGGAAGGGCTCATGTGCACACACAAGCACACACACACCACCATCGCCAGAGTAACGCTGTGTGTTGCTTATATTTGGACTCTGAGCAAGATTGCACTGGATTAAAGGTCCATTTATTTTAAGGTGAAAGGCATACACTGGTTTATTCTCTCTTCCCAGGAATAATGAAACACTTGAATAAGAAAGCACAACAATAACAACAAAAACTGGCAAGACGGTATAAAAACAAAGCTAAACCAAATGTTCACTAAAGATAAAAGTCCCTTTTGGCTCCCTTGATTCTTCATTCTTGTTTGTCTTTCTAACCAAAGAAAAGGCAACAAAAGGCTTAGTATATAAACTTGTTTAGGTTCTCATGGCAAATTTGTAATAAAACACCAAAAGCTCTATCATTTGTAGCTGAGACATTTTACTTCTTTCACTTTCCATTTGACTGCTATTAGTTTCATTTCTGAAAAAGACAGACACACTGAAAAACAATAAATGGCAGGGCCCCTGATGGCAAAGGAGGGCAGTCATGTCAGAGGCATTTTATTTTCTTTAATCATGGATATTTCCAATTGGCAGAAAATATCTTTATTTCTCACATACAAAGTTGATGATGATGTTGAAAGAAGTGACATTCCTGCCTCAAATTTCTCAGATTCAGGGAAGCAATGTTTTGCCAGATGCAGCAACATTTTCACCAGGGGAGTTAAAGGACATTTGTGTGCTGTCATTATTTGAGGAAAGAAAAGCAAAGAACTCAGAGAAAAGTTCACTACACTGATTTCATCTCTCTTATCTTTTTTTTACCTGACCTAAAGAAAAACTATGCTTTCTCTTCTGCAGTAAATTAACAGCTTCATTTCTGACAGAAATTATGTTGGCAACAATAAAGGATCTAATATTAAATAGATACAGGTACATGAACAATAACAAAGCAACAATATATGTCTAAATAAAATCTTAAAGATATATAAATGTTACTATACCTTCCAGCAAACATAGTTTCTGCCTGAGCTGCAATTTCATCTATATCAGGAACAATAGCTGCAAAGATAAATGGCAAAATCTCTTCTTTATCTTATTATAATTAGAAGTCACAATACGTGTATTAATAGTAGTGTACTTAAAAATATTTTGTCTCAGTTTCTTAATTTCTGCCACCAAAAGTCAATTAAGAGTTTAAAAAGTCACAGTATAGTTCCACCTTAGATTTCAATATTTTAAATTGAATTTTACACTTTTAAATATATATTGCTATAGCCAAAGATATACTTAAAAAGATCAGAAACCACAAAGTTGCCTCTTCTATTTAAGTGTGTATATATGTGCATCAACTATACACATACACACACACACACACACACACACATACACACAACACACGCATATATATACATATAATTTAAATGGGTTATGACATGGAAGCATAATGTTTTCTAAAGAATCAAAACTACCCATAATGAACTTTGCCACTGTATGATAGTTCAAAACAACGTGGTCTTTTTACCTAAGCTTCTCAAATTCCATTCTTCTCCTTGTGGGACATGGTGCTTAAAAACTGTGTGTGTGTGTGTGTGTGTGTGTGTGTGTGTGTGTGTGTGTGTGTGTGTGTGTGTGAACCAGTCGTGATTCCTCATCCATTCCGAACACCACTAACATTTCACAGGTATCTTTATTAAGATAACATGTTTAAATGATAAGTAGACAATTTCTCAGATCCAAAGCATAAAAAGAAAACAGAGCAAGATAAAAAAGGAGAAAAGGCATTCTCCCCAGAAAGCTCTCTCTTACAGAGATAAGCAATGTAAGAGACCAGGTAATCCAGAGAGCTGGTTTTCTGGGGGTGCCCCTAGACTTTCCCTCTTATATTTTAATGACACTTAGAGCTCCTGTTTCCAGAAGTCTGGCTTCTGAGAGCCAATAATTTTTCAATGTTACTGTCACTGCAACCGCCAGCAAGACTTTCTGGTTCTGCCATATCATTCCTGGAAATAGCCCTTTGGGGTTCTACACTTCTGGGAAGCATAAAAACAACACTGTTGCAAATGTGCCAGAAGTGACTTCTCACAGGCAAGCTTAACTCTGAAGAGGCATGCTGTCTTTTGGAGTTGGATAGGGGGACATCTGGCCTAACATCCACTTTACCTACACACTTCAGAATCACTGAATCGTTCCTGTCAAATTGATTGGCAGACAAAAGAAGAGGAGGGGTCCTGACGTTATCACAGCGGTTGTGGTTAGAAGAAAGTTTCATATCTGAGTACAAATCCTGTCCCCAGAAAAAGAATTGCTAAATCTTTAATACATCGTTTCCAATCTGCCATGACTAGCCTGGTCGATTCAGAAAAATGGTAAGTTAATATTCCTTAGATTTCATAAGGTACTTTCTGTAGTCACAAAATTTTTACAATTTTTATGCTCTTTCATCATATGTGGTTACCCTCAGGGATAAGTTGGTTTTATTCTTGTACTTTTTAAATGTGAAAAATTGAAATACAGTACTAGTTTACAACCATGCAAAGTAAAAAGAACAACACACACACACACACACACACACACACACACACACACACACACACACACACACACACAAACCAATACCTACATTCACACATTTAGACCTTTGGGAAATGTCAAGTCTTTATTCAAGAGTGGGGCGATGGCTTCCTACAAAACACCTTTCCTCTCAGTGGCTCATTTCACATTGCTCTTTGATCCAGGTCAAAAAAAAAAAAAAAATTCCCTTAGATTTTCACCAAAGAGCATAAGGCTGAAAACATTCAGGCTCAGGAGTTGAAGAGACCTCAGAAGGAATTCCTGCTCCACTACTTTCACAAACTTAGCAAGTAACTTAACCCCTTCAACTTTGGTTTTCTTATCTGTAAAACGGCACAATAAATAGTGCCTCCAACTCTCAGAGTTGGGAAGATTACAAAGGAAACTGTATTCAAAGGACTTAGCACCAAGTCACAGCAAGGATCCCTCCCACCATTCTAGGCCAGTTATTTAACATTCAGTCTCAGACCCTTCATTGGTGGAAAATATTTCCACATTTCTGTCTCATAGAAATACCACTATGTTTTACAATATGAAAGGTACTTTCAAGTTTCTCAGGAAAACAAAATACAAAGAGTAAATACTGTCACAAAGGAGATACCTGATGGTAGTAATGTATCTGGAGAGCCATTTGTAGATGTTTCAGCATTCTCGTTGTTCTCTCCAAATTCCTTCTTATATATTGACAGCATATATGAGATCCGATAATCTAGTCTGACACTCAGGATAAACTACAAGAAACATTAAAAAAAACATAATTTTCCTTTATTAGCATAGTGTTTAGAAATATAACTCATTCCACGACACCAAGAATAACATAACTATGAATGTGTGTCGGCAAACGCTTAACATTTCAGTTGCATACATGTCTGTTAGCTGTAAGACTGAAAAAAAATGATATGTTTCCATTAATCACTGTCAGTAAAACACGAAAGCAGTTTTGGAAAGAAGGAAACTTGACTTCCTTGATTACTCTCTGAATATTCCAGGTAGATGTATCCTATGGGTCTGGATGAAGAGGGCATGATGATATAATTTCACAGAACTTTGGAGAGTGTCCACAGGCTCTGGGAGGAGGATGCTGGAGAAGTGGTCCTCATCCACACAGAGAAAGGCCGAAAAAGAGAGGAGGGCCCTGAACCAGCAGAGAGCAGGGGACTTGCATAAGGCACGTGGCTACGAAGAAATTCTTGAAGCGATGTTCTGAGAAATACATCTAAGAGCAGCACCCAGGCCCACAGACACAGACACAGTGAATCAGATCAGACACGGAGACACATAAAACAGAGTGAGAACAGAGGTTCAACAAGAAATGCATAGAGGGCCCAACAGAGACAGCAAAATGAGTCAGCCCTAAGCAGCCCTGCCACAGTCTCTCCATCTCATCATGTTTTAGCTGTTAGAGATTGTTAAGTGCTGCTTCTCCTGTAACTGTGGGCTAAAATGACGCCACATAGTTTAGAAGTTGTCCCATGAGTAGGATGATGTTAAGCTGTGGGCTCATTAGGTCCACAGGTCGGGAATCACCGCCTTTCTCAGTTTAATAGGGAGACTCTGGGATTCTTCAGGGTCAGGAAAAGTGTCCGGGAGGCCTGCCAATATTTCTCAGGATTCAGCCTTTGGAATTCCTGGAGGAACTGTAAAACCTTTTATGATTATAAATCTAATTACTTTACATATAAATGTACAGGCCCTTCCTGGACTACTAACCCACTTCTGGTAGCTCAGTCTATTTTAAATTACGAGGAAAGACAGTCAACTGTATCTGGAATCTTAATACATCCTTGAAAACTCCAGGCTCCACTTTCCAAATCTGGAATAAATGCTGTATATATAATTTAAGTATCACAAAACAACTTTTCAATTTTTTTTAAATGCTAAGAATTCATATCTACAGTAATGGAAAATGTATTCACTAAACCAGTGGGCATGAAATAATAATTTACCTCCTTTAAATTCATAGAGCTACATATTAGACTAGGTTAATTTATACATATTATAAATATATATATGTTATTCCTAACCTCTTGGAAACAAAAACACAAAAAGAGATAGTCACTTGTATAAAATACTAAAACTAATTAAAACCAAGTATTAACATTTTTGTTAATAATAAATAAAATTTTGAGTTTTTTGCTACAATGATAAATCTAAATACATGGAATTGAATGCCTACCGTATTTGCCGGCGTATAAGACGACTGGGCGTATAAGACGACCCCCTAACATTTCCACTCAAAATACAGAGTTTGTTATATACTCGCCG